TTCCATTTCTCAACATTTCCTTCTGAAATTTTGAAACGACACTTTCTGTGTTTGGTTTTTATAAATTCTTGTAGGCTTTTTCTAAATGGACACACATTCATGACATGTTTTGGTGTCATTAAGGTTTTTTTTATTTTGGTGGGGGTGGGCGGTGGGGGCTTGAAGTCTTAGTCAGAATTTCACCAAGCTCTAGGTACTGTGAATTGCTCTAAATCTGTCTGGCAAGAAAAGCTAGATGGCCTGTTTTCACATCATTGTGTCCTCTCCTCCATGGAGGAGGTATAGTTTAGGTTCTTCCATCTTGTTTGTTAGAATACAAATATGCTTGTTAACCAGCTATATAGCCATTCTAAAGTCTGGGCAGTTTAACACCACCTCATCTTTTTTTTTTTTTATTCCAGGCATTTGCAAAGCTTTGTTTTAAACAAACTCCTTCTTCCCTTTCCAGGCCAGCAGCTAATGTTAACAGCAGGCCCCAGCGCAGTACCTCCCCAGGCCAACTTCCCATATGGATACACAGCTCCAGGATTCACCCAGCCACCTGTTTATGGTTTCAATATGTAACTAGCTCTTTGACAGATCTACAGTCTGTTTTTCTCCCTTCCTGTCCTGCTAACTTCTTGGAGAAGTTTACAATGGTCCTAAAGGCACAGATGACCCCTCGGTTGGTTGAATACTTGCTGTCCCACTCAGTGAGAAGATTTCCAGAGGATACCTGTTACCATTATTTATTGCTATTGTCCAGTTACATTTCAACCTCCAAAGGCAGCTTTTGTTAATTATGTTGCAAGACTCTTGGCTGAAGTCGAGACACTATTTATCTAAAACTCCAAATACAGCAATAACTACTTGGGGCCAGGGGGAAGAGGGAGTGCATGTTCCTTGCTGCAAACCCATTGCCAGCAGTGGTTGTGCTGGGGAATCACCTGGCACCAAGTCGTTAAAGCTTTAAAGTACTGTAGCTGAAGCTACTAAGTAGGTAGCATGGATGTTCAGAATTGAGTTCAGCAGCATCTTACTGGTGGACTGTTAGAAGTTTGCTTAAATCTGACTACCCCATTTCGTTTGCAGTGTTGTATGCAAAAAGGAGAATATTTCTTAAAGTACTCTGCAAATTGTTTGGAGAAACATGGGGGAAATTTTTTGCAGAAAGTTCTTGGGGGGGCAGATTGAGCCTGTTCTGTACCTGCTGGGGTAGGTTTGAGTCTTAATTACTGAAAGAGAATAAATCTGATCATACCGGAGAGCAAGCAAACTTCCCAGATGCTTTTTTCTTTAACAAGATGGGAGAGCATGTTACTCATTTGACATTAAATGGTACAAAAGGAAATCTCAGCTATATGTATGGCAAGTTAAACGGAGCAGGAATGTGTGCGCGTGGGCTGCCAGAGTACTATGAGCATATGCTAAGGTAACAATGATTCAAAGAGTGCAGTGTCAGGATGGGGGAGGGATATAGTGCTAAAATATTTGAGGTAGTGGAAAGGGATATAATCCTGGTTTTGCGCCTTTATTAACTCTGATGCTGGAATTAAGGTTTTCTGCTCCACCATCTTGGGCTGACTCAAATTCCTGACCCTGACTGGCAACTAGAAGCAGTGTCATCTGATCTGATAGGGTTTGGCAAATCTTGGTTTTGCTGTGCTGTAGTATAAATGGCACATCCACCGTTCACCTTTTTCTTTGAGAATGCCAACAGAGCTGTATTCCTTTGTGCCACTCTTCAAATACATATATCATTAACGTTTTATGTACTGAAATTAGATAACAATGTATAATTTATGGTTATGAACTTTGTGCTAATCATGAATATTATAAAAGTCCAATTATAAATGTAAAACTGGTGTACACTGTGGTTGTAGTCTTGATTATTTTTTTGGCAGGGGGAGTTGCATCTACCAACAGTGATGGTACCAAAACATCAACTGTCAAAGCTAGACTAGGCCTTTGATCACTGCCCTCCCCTCTACATTACCTGCACTGTAGTAGGTCCAGAGCACTTTGGACTAAATACTTACACTGTACTTTCCCCCTATAGATATTCTGAGGAGTGAATGAGGAAAATAAAAGTATCAGGCAGTTCTTCTCCCATTTGCAGAGTGTCTTGCAAGTTCCAGGTGAAACTAACTTTTATGCTATGAACACAATGCCCTAAACTTTTTATTCGTCTGGGGTCTCCGCTATATACATTTTAGATGCATTTGTTTATCTATTCACATCTTGGGAACGAACTTAGTCATGGGCTTCATGAAGTGCCCAGCCTAGACTTGCATCCTTTTACTGTACTTCAGTTGTACTGTAGCCTAGCTTAATACTGGACTGTAGTCTTTTGTGGGGCCTTTCCCAACAGTGGAGCTATGTAAACTAAGCAGAGCTAAGTATAGGAGAAACTCAACCCCTGGAAGCTACCAAAAGAACTAGTAAACGATCCTCTGCTGTAAATCATTCAGTGTATCTTGGAGCACTGCCTCCCCATCACTTCTACACACTCTAGTATTCAAGAACAGAACACAAGGCACACAACTGCCTCCTTCAAAACAGGAGCATGTTAGAGTAGGAAAACCCTACACCTGCATGTGAAACTAGCAGCCATATTTGGAAAGGCTGAAAGTAATAGGCTTTAAGCATTCAAACCATCAATAGCTGCATTTCTCATAAAGGGCTGTTTAACATGGCTAACGGTATAGGCAAGCTCAAATTCACAACCTTGCTGATAAGGGTACTGTAGGTGTCTCCCCCCCCCCCCCATTCTAGCACTCTGGTGTTGCACAACCACTGCTCTAACTTGTATATCCCACTTACAGAAAAATGGTATAGGTTAATAAAATATGCTTTCAGTTGCTCATCAGGAACTTGAAGAGGAAACTAGTGCCTTATTGAAGAGTGTCTCCAAGTTATCTGCTCTAATATTCTCCTATAAAGAAGTCTTGCCATCAGCTGTTACTGGATCTATTCTAGGGTGGTGAACAAACCAGATCTCACTTTTCAGTGAAAGCCATCACAAACACTGAATCCTAAAACTAAGTTTTTTAGAAAACTCAGATATACCATAATATAAGTGTTTTCTGTCACTGGTCCATATGTGACTTGGCTAGCTCAGGAGAGCAATGATACTGACCTCATCAGGATTACTTGTGTGGAGAAAGGCTTTAGAGTGGGACCCCAGGTTCATATGGTGTATTGATTGTGACAATTGCTGTTTGTAGGATGTCATGGCTTTTGGCTTTGCTTTAGCAGTGGGAGGAAGGAAAGAAGGTTTGAAAACCAAATATAGATAGTTGCTATAATCATACTTTTTTTAGGATAGTTTCCCATTAACTTACTATTGGCATAAATATCAGATGAAATGTAGGTAACCAGTGTAGATCATGGGGGAAGGGAGATGGAGAGAAGAATTCTACTTTTAAACAAGTGCCAAAAACCTGTAAGATTTTCAACTAGTAACAGACTTAAACCTAACTATAGCCTAATTTGGACCTTGGCAGGTATATAAAAATTTGTTTTTCTCCAGCAAGAGCTATGATACTTTAAGGAACTGAAACAATTGCAGGGAATAAAGCTCCTGCCATGCTGCTATGGCAAAAATTTCAGTGCAAGCATCTAAGCCAGAGAACCTTAATTTAAAGGTTTCAAAGTAGCAGCCATGTTAGTCTGTAGTCGCAAAAAGAAAAGGAGTACTTGTGGCACCTTAGAGAAAAACAAATTTATTTGAGCTACATTCCGATGAAGCGAGCTGTAGCTCACGAAAGCTTATGCTCAAATTTGTTAGTCTCTAAGGTGCCACAAGTACTCCGTTTAAAGGGTCTGTAGATGTAAATGAAAGGGGTTATTTCAGTGGCTCTCAACTTTTTTACTGGTGACCCCTTTCACATACCAAGTCTCTGAGTGAAACCCCCCTTATAAACTAAAAACACTTTTTAAAATCTACTTAACACCCTTATAAATGCTGGAGGCAAAGCAGGGTTTGGGGTGGAGGTTGTCGGCTCATGACCGCTGCCCCCCCAGGGCTCCCAACCCCCAGTTTGCAAATCCCTGGGTTATTTGTAATCTCTTAAATGCAATTCTGGCAAGTACTTGCTTGTAAATTACCAACAGGTGTTTAGGCATAGGAGGAGAGACCAGAATGTCATGTTTCTAGTATAGCCCTATAGATGCACTTCTTTTCAACATAAAACTGACCATCTCTTGCTGTTGTTGGAAGGTAGCTGATATGGAATGGGTTACTCTTCAGATCCAGCCACTATAATTGTACATTCAGTGTAAATATGACAGCCCTGCATGCTTTAAGGTTACTGTTTCATTACCTGCACCTCAAACTTCTCTGCAATAAAAATGCAGGTTTCTAAATCCATCTGCACCAGCAATAGAACAGCCAAGTCTTTTGTTTAATCTAAGGGTCACATGCATGTTCCAGTACAATAGACTTCCCCCAGAAGCCCTAAAGAGGCTGCCCTACAGGAAATTGAACTGATCACCTGCTTTAGACTTAAAATCAAGCTTATTTAAGGGTAGGAAAGTGGAAACTAAGCCAGTCAGTCGTCTTGTTCCCAGTCTTGCCTCACTTGTATTGGGGAAGAGTGTTCCCACTGAGAAAGTAATGACGAGTTCCCATGTGTTTCTTACAACAATTGCACCAAAAATGCTGTGATGTATAATGTTCCAGCAAAGGAGGGTGTGAAGTTCTCTGCTCTTCTAACAGGATAACGATCCTTGTTGGCCAGGACTCTTCATCCATTTCATGTAACTAAAGCAGCCCATCAGCAGTTACTACTGTAGGGGAATATCCATTCACATTAGGGTAACAAATAATTCATGTCGGGGGAAGGCTGTTTCAGGAAGGATATGAGAAAAGGATGCATAATAGAGGGCTCACATACATGTCTGTCACCTTGTCCTTCCGCTGTCTGAGAATGGGCTTCCTTCTTTACAATTAGCCTTGGCTATACATCAGTCCACATGGGGTCTTTGTTTCTATCTCCACTTAATATGCCCTGGGAGAATATTAAACTTTCTCTACTCCCACTCAGCAGGGAAAGCCTAGCCCAAGGTATTGGGATTCTGCAAGCATTGTATCTTGGCTGTTAAGTGACTCACCAGGCTAGATGGAAATAGATGGCTTAACTCTCAAGCCTATAAGGCACCTGTGCTGGTGGAAAGGTATGTGTACTGTTCCTTGTACTCTTGATAGAAATCCTGTTGGGGTGGGCTAGCTGGGTATCTACTTGCATAGAAGCTACCATCACTATCCTGTGTTCCCTCCAGTGCAGGTTGGTTGACTGACTGGTTCCAAGTGATGCTCTGCCAAGTCTGGAGGTAGAAGGTGGAAGGATGCCTCTTGCACAAAAACAAAGTTGCCCCTGATAGCTGGCTTTTCTAAGACCCATCTCTCTGCTCTGGTATCAAACCCGTGGGCTAAGCCAGAAAACCCAGGAAGACCATTTCTCAACAGTAAGCTCCATTTTCTTGGCTATACAGAAAAAATGTTTATTTCAGGAGCTGTTCTGCTTACTTACCTTTTCCAGGGTTGTACAACTATAACAGCACCACTGAATATCAGTCCTGCAGAAGCCCTGCCAGAATGCCCTAAAGTGCTTCAGTCCCATTTCTAGTTGGGAATGCAGAATGTACATACGGTACTGAAGAACTCCAGCCAGGCAAGATCTGTTTGATTTATGATATTGTTATGGCAGTGTTCCAAGTGCACATGGGAGTAATTACCCCCGGGTACCAGAGTTCATTTCAATCTGTGTTTAATATATTCTCTATAAAATGTCATCTTTAGCCACTGCAGTCCTAACATATAAACAGCTGGTATTTAGCCCAATATGCAACTTTGTCTGTGCAAATAAACCCTGCCGAAGACAGCTTGCTGTCCTTTCCTAGCCAGTTGGCAACAGGCATTTTGTAAGGTATGTCAAAAACAGCTTGACAAATCCTTGACCTATATTTGTTGTATCGAAAGGGGAAAAAGGAAAGAGTCGTTTCCCATTCTTATGTCCTCTGCTACTTTTTATATAATGTAGATAATTGTAAAATTGTCTATCTCTTTATAACTGATAGCTGAGTATAGCCAGTTAGGAAAACTAAAATTACTAAATAGCTAACCCTTATGTCTGACCACATCTGACTTGCTGATTAAGAGTGTTAGAAATGCTAAAACCACATTCCTAAAACAGAGTGCTTCAGTGAGTCCAAGTTGCATTGAAAAGGCTATCTGACCCAAAATGACAGGTTAGAAAACAACCTGATCTTGGAGATTTTAGACCTGCATGCAGCAGGTCACATACAACTAGCAGTTCTGAAGGTTAGTGGAAACTGTTGCCTCCCTTCTCATTTATAGCATTTTCTACTACATTGCTAAAAGAAAAGGAGTACTAGTGGCACCTTAGAGACTAACCAATTTATTTGAGCAGAAGCTTTCGTGAGCTACAGCTCACTTCATCGGATGCATTCCGATGAAGTGAGCTGTAGCTCACGAAAGCTTCTGCTCAAATAAATTGGTTAGTCTCTAAGGTGCCACTAGTACTCCTTTTCTTTTTGTGAATACAGACTAACACGGCTGCTACTCTGATACTACATTGCTGTAATCTCAATATTCTGCTATATATAGCTTGAGTCATCACTTTGCTCCTAATCTAAATGTGTTTGTATGCTCACCCTAAAACACACCCTGGGAGAATGCTTGCTTGAATCCCATTAGTTCCCACAGGGAGTGGAGTTTTAGGGCATTTTGAAGCTGTAACAAAATCCTGTGAACTATATATGAGAAGTGCTTCATCACAGCTGTGTGGGAACAATGGGAGTATTCTTTATAACACTGGAATATATCTTTAAATTGTGTAACATGGGGTGGCTTTGTACTTGCTATTGCAAGCTGCAGGGGCATCATTCTAGCATAATGCATGGTAATTCTACCTACTGTCTCTTTTTTTTGTTGTTGTACCTTACCCTGCAGCAAACTTTCAGTCTTTTAGAAAAGGTTTAAGTATAATGGATGTGAGCTAGTGGTCTTATTTGTTAGTTTCTGTCAGTGCTCATAATGTGCTGTGTGCTCATGAGGGAGACACGGATCCTGCCTCAATGAACATAAAAGCAAGATTTAAACTCTTCTAGACAGGACCATTCCTACCTTGAACTTTAGTGTTGCAGCCTGTTAAATAGTTGAATGAAACAGTCAGGAGTTATGCTTTTTTGAAGCAAGTATTAACAGTATTGCCAGCTGCAAACAGTCAAAAATCACAAGTCATGCCCCAGAAAACTGAGATTAGCTTAAAAATCATGAGATTGTTTTAAAACAAATGCACTTCGGATTCTCTGTCTCCTGATTTTTGAGCCTTTAGGGTTTGATTTTGTTTTTTCCAAACTTTCCTCCACCAAGAGGCCTAGAATCTTATTAAATGAAAGCAAGAGCCTCATCTAACCAAAAGACTCCAGGACCCGGAGCTTCAAGAAAAATACCAAATAGCACAAGATTCTTGATAAATTTGGCAGAGTTGCCCCTGGGAGGAATCGGCAGTGGTGGTGGTGGTGGTAAAAAGGTTGTTCCTAGCAAGATGACCTAATTTGGGTGCTGAAGTCCGCACAAAGAAAAGGCACATAACTGGTTTGTCAGCCCTGGCTGCCTCTCTTTGTGCTTCATTGTGTGTCCTGAATGTGAAAGCAGACTTCATGTTTGGGGAGCATTGTGAGTGTGTTTGTGAAAGGAGCTGTACTACGGCTCTCCTTTCTGAACAATTAGCTCCGAAGGCTGATGGGAAGTTGCATGTGTATGACCTGATGAACTTGACAATACAATATGTCACGTCAGCCATTTGTGTAGCACCCACCTAACTACCAGCATTCTAAGGTGCTATACAACATTCTGCAGATTCAGCTGCACAACAAAGCTCAGAGCCATAATAGAAGACATTAGGACTCCGAAGTGTACGTGACGCGTTCATGGTATTCCTCGTAATCCTGCCTAATGGAGCAAGCTGCCAGCTCATCACAGAAGAGCTACTGAGTGACTTTGGCTTGGGGTGGTTACTGAAGATGGATGTGATGAGGATACTTCCCCAAAATACCTTGCAGAGAGGGATTGAGAATATTTGTCTGGGATCCTGGGGAAAAGATGCCATGCATGTAATACGAATGCAGGGGACTGTGTCAGTTTACACTGAAAAGTTCAGGACTTTTTTTTTTAAACATTTTAGCTGTTCTTTTTAAAAGTTCTGATAATTAAATTTTAACATGGGTGAAGAAACAGCCCATTTAGTTTCACTTCTGTTTCTAGTCAGTTTCACTATCATTCTCACACTGGCACATAGCTGAGGTGTTTTGGGTTGCTAACTCTGCACTGGGAATGTTTAAATCCAAACAAAAGTTTTAATTGGATTTTTTACAAACAGGTGAAACATGGAAACATTTCCTTTGCCCTGATGTCTGTAAAACATTGCTTTCTTAACAAACTTGAATTTGGAGCCTGAAATGGACATTTTAACAATTTTCTTTTTTTTCATGGTGAGAGGGAGGAAGATGAAGGTGGGAAGGGCAAACTCTTAGCAAAAAAGGCCACAAGCAGGAGTATGACTTTTTCTCCCAGCATATCCTTTCCCCAAATATGAAATGCAGACCAGTACAGCAGTGATATCTGATTTGAACTCCTACCTGTATGATTGATTGTGAGGCTACATCTATACTATGAACTAGGGGGTGTGATTTTCCCAGCTTACACACTCATCCTGCAGTAGCTCAAGGAGAGCTAGCCGAAGTATAAATAGTGGTGTAACCTAGTGGTGTAGTCAGGATAGCATTTGCCATCACAGTGGTGGCACAGCTTAGCTGGACTGGGTACATATCTCCTCTCATTTCAGAAGTGTTTGTACTTAGCACAGCTAAGCCACGCTGCTGCTGCGCGTACGACTGCAGTTACGCAGCTGTGTATACTTGCCTTAGCTCTCATGTGTACATGAGCTCAGGAACCACACCTCTAGCTCATGATGTAGGCATCGCCTTAGGAGCTTTTTTTTAAACTGAACCAATCTGTTATCAGTCAAGTTCGAACAGCTCAATGCTGCATTCTGTGTTTTAGCTTTTGACCAGGGCTGGTGGAAGACTATCTCTTTGTGCACAAGAGAATTAATGAAATTGGGGAGTTAGAAAAACTGTGTAGCAGAATCTCAGTGAGATTACATCTGGAATGAGATGTTCTGATCCATTTAAAGTACTGAACACTTTGCCTTTAAGAACAAAGACCCTTGCAGTATTGGGCAGTTGAAAGGAATAGAGCAGAAGAAAGCTTCCTTAACTTAACTTGGCAATTTAGGGGCACTGTATTGGCTCCCCGCCCCAAGGTATAAAGATGCATTGACTTCTTTGGGCATTATTGGTACTTGGAATTCCTGAAAATCAGGTTTGCATACATTCATAGCCTACCTGCTCTTAAGAGATGCTTAAATCAGTTGACCTAGAATTAGTTTTGTAAAATGTAGTAACTTTTTAAAAAAAAACCTTAAACCACTAGAAATGTTCCCATTCCATTTTTAAATTCTAATTTTTATCTATCAAATCTTCTCCTGCGGTGTTTCATTGTCTCAGCTGAGAAATATTTTGTGGACTCTTAATAAAGATTTAAAATATCTTATTCTAAGATCACGTTTGTAACCCTTTGTGGGAAAAGGGCAACCAGAAAGGACTAGCAGAGCCTCTGGCATGTACATTAGCCCAGTGGCAAGGTTCTGAGTCATTACAATGTATGACTGCAAAGAAACCCAAGATTCTGGATTGGGGGAGTATGCAGGAGGGTTGCCCATCTGACAACTTGAGGGTTTTTAATCTTTTGGAATGCTGTTATTTTGAAAGATTCCCCTCCCCACCCTACCCCTCTTCTGAGTCAGATGGTACAAAGGGACACGTTTAGGGTAAATTCAATCCTGAGTTGGTCAACTTTAACTTTTTTTTTCTTTTTTTTTTTAAAGCAACAACATAGATTATGCCATGGAGAATGCACTTACCATGCTCTGGTGGAGTGGTGATAACTTGTAATGTCCTATCTAGCATGTGTGTGACAGTTGTCTTCTGTTGGATGGAGAGCCAGGCCTGCTTTAGTGTAAAGATGGTAAGACCTTTATTCTTGCTCTATTGCTAGGGGGCTTGTGCCTTTGGATCAGAAGCTGCGTTCTTATGTTTATAAGAAGCACACAGGATTTTTTTTGTAGGTGAAAAGGCAATATGCCGCATTTATTGAAGATACAAACAATTAGCATACGCATTCAATTACATCACACACACACACTGTCCCATCAGTCGATGTTATAGGTACCAGTCCAGAGTCTGGATCAACCTAGTGGCTAGCTAGGTTGATCGCTGGGTTCCGTCGTTCGCAACACAGTGCTCCGGGGAAGTCTTTGCAAGACGAACCCAAAGTTTCATGGCAAGACGCCCTGTTTATATTGTGATTTTCCTTCACTGGGACCAGTGAGTTTTTCACAGTCATGCTGAAATCAATTGTTGTTTGACGAGTGCTCGTTTTCTTAAATTGTCCTTATTTTTTTATTACAGCTATGTTGTCCCCATTGATAGGTGCCTGTCTCATTTTTAGAATCGTAAATCTGCCCTCCTCTGACATTTCAACAGGGGCATGTTGCAGCCTCCTGGCACCCTTGCGTCTGTTTCTGGTTCCTCCCTCATACATCTGGCTCAGCGATGGCCTTCACACTTATCTCTTAACACACACATTCCTCATTCACACACAAAACAAAATTAATTTACACAGAACATTTTGAACAGGAACATCAAATTGCAATGCAAAAGAAAAACAATCATTGCATTCTTTTACTTATTTTAAAATGCTAAACCTACAACAAATTGGTGACCCTCTAAGGTCTGTCACTACCTTTGAAATCAGCACAGACACACATTCTGGCTGATGCATCTTTACCAAATGGCCCATTAGGCCATTCCTTTCTGCCATTCAAAAAGGGTGGCTGGCAGAATATGATCAAATCATATACCAATACATTTAATACATGCTACATTATTATCTCGTTCTTTATTTTTTATTCTAAATCATACAAAATACAAACATAAAATCCTACTACTACAGAGTTCTACTCCCACTTGAAGATTATAAGCCCTCGATGGCTACAACATACCAGGTAGTGTGGGAAGGGAAATCCTTTCAGACTGAATGTTGCCTCACAATGGACTCTTGTTTGCAAATGGTGCTCAAACTGGGGCCCTGTGAGGCACTGTAGAATAGCGTCCTCAGAATCTTACTGGTTCACCACATGCTCTGACTCAAAAGCCCTAACATAACATCTCCATCTTCATGGTCATGCGTAGCAGACTATAGACTTGATGTAAAGAGCCTGTTGGAATACTGGTGAACCTTCACTGCTGGAGAAAGGAAATATAGTTCACTGCCTCCTCATCATAGCATAAATTGGTGTATTTTTGTAGCAGGTGGAGGGGCTTGTAATGGTCAATTTCTGGGTAGCATATCTTGACCAATTCTAATATTTAAGTAGTGCTTCACACTTTTCAAATTGCTGTATAATTAAAGTAGCTGTGCTATAATGTGTGTAAGTGTGTGATAGGTATGCTTTTGGTGCAATACTTCAACCACCTAAAGATTTCTGGTAAAACCACATCATTGGACACACTATGTTTCTAGCTGAAAACAATGTTCAGTGCCTGTGGGAGGTGTCAGCAGTAATATTAATAATGTAAAATCCCTGTTCACTCATTGCTTGGAGTCACTGAGTCCTGTGTTTTGGGACAGTCTTTAGATTGTAAATTCTTCAGGGTTAGGATTGTCTTCAGATTGTGTCTAACACAGAGCCAGACATCATGACAGCTTATCAAATAACATGATTTCATTTTTTAATGATCTTTATAGGGTAAGTGTAGGAGGGGGAAACTCTTTCCATCTGAATGGCCCCAGACTTGAGGTGCTTTTTGGGTCTGTAGCCAATGCTTGTCAATCAGCCCTTGCAGTTTTCAGTTCCCACTCAGTACTCGAGATCCCCGAGTCCTCACTCTGATATCCTGCTGCTGTTTTGGTCCCCGGTCGCTTTATTAACCCCTGGAATTGAGGGGAAAAAAAAAAGAAGGAAATGGTTAAAGTTATTCTAGTACTTTGTCACAAATATGGTAATCTGGTATTTGTTTCCGTGACAGCAGAACCTGCCACCAGTAATGGAAATAGAGTCTGGTTTTGCCAGATAGCTTGCTTCCATAGAAATTGTTGGACTGACAAAAATAAGAGGTAGAATTTTAAGTTTTGTCTCTTAAAGTTAACTCTTCTTTTTATCTTTAATTTTGCCCATGTACTAGCCCAGGGGAATACACTCTTGTAGGCTTCAGCTGGCAGGGGAAACTTGTATGTACAAACCACCTATGGATTTTAAACATCCCATTCTACAGCCACCAGTACAAAGGTCAGCTGTTCTCTACAGAGTACTCTTCTCGTCTGGTCTCTTCCTGGTGATGGTTATAATTTCTTGGAGGGCAACTTGTGTAACAACTTCTAATCTGTGCTTGTGCTTCATTACTTTGCTGAATAGGGAAGGGGTTAATCACATGTTTAAAAGTTAAGCACCTGCTTATATCTCAGTGAGATAAATGGGATTTAAGTATATGCATTAGGTTAAGAGTGCACTTAAGTACTTTGCTGAATAAGTTTGAGATCATGCACATTGCTTAACTGACTTGATGAGTTAGGATCTAAAAAAGCCAATATATTGCTTAATGAAGAGTCTGTGTGTGCTGAAGATTGGGTAAAGCAAGTGACCTCACCTACAGTAGCACTGGGCATGTCTGCAAATGCTATAACAACATATTGGCATGACAAGCAAGCAGGGAGCTGCGGCGATACATCACAAGTTTATTAACTGTCTGAAAACAGCAAGAGATTTAAACTTAGTTTTCTGCCATCCAAACAGTGCTGTTAACCAGAGTTCTAAACAGCTGCCTCAAATCTGTGACACTACCTACATTCCTTCCTTCCTGTGGGTCAAGTAGGTGGGAGGAAAAGGACTGATGCTTAGTCATCCCATGTGTCTGTACTCGTCTAGCAGATTTAAGCTGGAGAGAACCCAGAGAATGGCTTGAGTGGTGCTTGTGGCACCTTTCCTGTAGCTCCTGTAAACTCAAACGAGCTGGATGTGGGGAGTCAGGATGGAAGCTGCTCAGCAGTACACGATTGAAAAAGCAAAGCGAGCTGAATAATAGCTTAACAATCTTAGCAAACAAATGGCATAGCATTATTCCTTCCTCTGCTGGGTCAGTAGGAAAATGGAAGATTTGGGTTCTGGGTGTCTAGCTTCCTATATAGGATGAAAAGTTTGGACCATGAGTGGGCATGAGACGTGAGCTGGATATTTCCACTGCTACTTCTGTCTCTGCCTGGCCTCCCATGCCATAAATGCTCTTTTACTGCCAGTCTTACCCAGAAAGGGATGGATTATACCACTCCTTACAGCTCTTCAGGTCTAGTCTCTGACTCTTAACCTCCTTTCTCATAAAATTATAACCTGTTCCAAGCTTTCCAGCTTAATCAGTTCCCCTGAATCTTGGCCTTTGTACTCTGTTACTCTGCCCCCCCAATACCTATGCATACTTCATTTATGGTATATTATAAACTATATCAGCATGTATGTTTTAACCATGATGTGAAGCCCCCAGTAATACCTCTTATACAGGTAAACAACTTCCACATTTCACCTATTTTAGTTCATCTCCTTTTCCAAGAAGCTGCTGTGGATTGAATGGAATAATTCAGAAAAGGGGATGGAGGGATGAGCCCAAAGGAGAGAGGAAGCCAAAATGGATGTTGGTGCAAAAAAACACAGCCATTTTGAAAGCTATAGGTCATCCTTCAGCTTTGTGCCATGGCACTGGTGAGAGACAGAATGAGACACTCAGGAAACCCCTTTAACTCCAGATTCATGTTAAGGTAAGTAGTAATATTACCATTAATCAGCATTTTGGAATGTTCGCTTGCAACTAGTGCGGCGACTAGGGTATGCCGAGAGATCCTGCAACGGACTGGATACTAATGAGAATGGATGGGGTCCAACAGTGGAGTCAGACAAAGTAAAAAGTGAACTCAGTATGTGATTTGGGTTGAAATCAAAGCAACAGTTCACAGCCATTACTGCGGGAACGTACACGCCGAACAGTCACTGAGACCATCTGCACTGCACACCTGGCTGCATAGAAACAAACTACTATGCCCAGCTGGATGAGAGGAGTGATGAGTGAAGAGCCCATTTCTCCTAGCTGTGATTCAGTCCATCTCTGAGACTGGCTCCAGTCCTGAAACGGCACAACACACACTCATGGATGATGGATCTGAAATTCAATATAATACCTTAACGGTAATAGTATTGCAAGTCACATGAGTTCGGAGCAAGGAGCCTCACTGTTCTATGGCTGTAGATTTGAAAACCTAAGGCCAGGTAGTGTCTGCCCCCCACTGGTGGCTGGAGGCCAATATCAGGTATCTGAACCAAAGATGAACATAGAGCCTTGTCCCTAATGTTCACTGGGGGCTTGACTAAATAAGAAAATTGACTGCTACATCCTATATCCTTTGGGCTGAATAATTACACTGCTGTAGTGATACTGATATAACCCCCTGGGGGTGCGCACTGTTTCAAAATAAGTGTGACTTAACTTTGGAGATAGAGCAATTATACTGGAATAAAGTCATATTTATATTGGAACAGTGTGTTCACACAGGCAGTTGCACCAGCATAGCTACAGTGGAATAATTATTCTGCTAGAACCATACCAGTCAATTGTCCCATGTACTGAATTAGATTCCGTCTGCTAGCTGACTCCTCAAACTTGCTGATGGGAAAGAACAACATAAAGGTGCACAGACCACAGGACTCCATGAGAGCTGACTTGCATCTAGCAGGGCTGGTTACAGTTGTTGGAGACTAACTATGAAAGGTAATATTAATTACCTTTGGAACAGGCTGATTGTGTAGGGAAGTCTGCACAGGTAGACTTCTTCTGTGGATTTAGGGTCTCCCTGCAAATTTTTGGAATTCCCTAGGTCTTGTGCAGAAAACTGACTCTGCATCCTGATGATAACAAAAATTGCCATTTAGATGGTTAACTTTGGACTAGTTTAAACTTAGTCTGAATGTGCTGGATTTTGTTCCGCTTAAACTGGACTCAGCTAGAACCTTGGCTCCACAATCTCCACATCTTGGGAAAGTCAGTTTCTGATCCAGTTATGAAGTGAACGTCTCACTGTATTCACCTAGTAACCACCATTTCTGCTAATTGCCCTCTGTTTAAAATACAGATAAAATAGGACAAGTTAGGGAAAGGAACTCATGGTGCGGATATAGAACCTTTCGCATCTAAGCCAGCAATTCAAGTTCAGCTAAAGTCAACGGGCCCAAACTGTACCCTCATCTGAGAACCATTCAGTGGCTGATGTGAAAATCTTAGTAGTCTCGTACTATACTAGTGTGTTCTTTAAGACTGAGTTGGCCAGCCAGGGCTTGTGTCTGTCTTACCTGAGGAAAAGCCCTTCTACCAGTGCAGCATTAACAGCTGACTTGAATCCAGTTCTTGGTAAAAGACTCAGCCCCATAATTTTGGGTCTCAGGAAAGTTCTTTTTAGCCAGGCCCTAGTGACTCACCTGCTGTGCGTATATATAGCCCATTACGACTACCTCGTATTAAGTTCACAGTGTATGACGTTCACTTTTTCATAGTTTGTTGGGGGGAAGGAGAAATCATCATTTCACAGCTTGTGAAGGTTGAGATGGGCACAAATGTGGTGGTGGTGTTTTTTGTGGCTTTGGAAATAATGTAATTCTTGTTAAAAAATGCCAAGATGCTTTCCTTCACTCAGTCAGGGCCAGCAATAACAAACCAGCCTCTGTACAACAGCCAGCCAGGAACATTCACTGGGGACCAGGACTTAATTTTTTAGCTTCTACGTGCTTGTTTACAGGCAGCAGTCAGAAAAACAAATGACGAAAATAAATAAAAAACAAATGCCTGGATGCTTGCAGGTGCTTCTCTTGTCTAATTTATGGATAAATATAACTCACTCCAGTTTTCATCAAGGAGGTGTAGTGCTGACATTAAACCCCACAAGAAAAGTTGAGTGGCTTAATGACAACCCTGGGCTGGAATTAAATTGCTCTCAAACTTCCATAAATGAAGGTGGCACCACATGTGTAGAAAAGGTTAAAGAGAAGATGACGTGTTTCTTTGAAGGGGGTGGTGTGTGTATACAAGGTAGCTGTACACAATCTCGACTGTCCTTATCCTACAACTACTTCCTGAAGGGCTTAACTTGAACCATGTCCTTGGGGATGAAAATTGCAATATAAATCCATTAGAGATAAGACACCTCCCTCTCTATTACTAAACAAATTCATGCAACAGGGCCAGGGCTATGGCCCCTTATCTAGACCCCTTCAAAACACTTTATTGTCTATTGTCCTTGGCAGCTGGCATCTTAATAAAGCTGCAGAAGCCTAGATCAGCCTGCCCTAGGTGTCCATTTCTAATAATTATTTACAGTGCTTTACAAAGGCAGTCATTATCATTACCTTTCATAGCTGGAGAAACAGGGGCGTAAGGGGACTTGCTGTGTAGCAGAGGCAGGGATTCTTAAGTCCTCGGACCCTGTTCTATCTACTAGGCCACACTACCCTCACGTTGGTGCACGGATGTAGCCGGGCTCATGGCTTCTTTCTTTGAGGTCAGTGATTGTGTTTTCAGGGTTTCATCGCGGCTGCCCCCCACATGTGATTCCACAGTTGGGAAGCAGGGGGTGCTGAGCCCGGCGGATGTAGAAGGGCCAGCGCTTAACTTGGGCCAGGGGTTGGCAAGGCCGAGTCCGGGCACCCCTGGGCTGGCTGCATCAGTTATGAAAGTAAAAAACAGCTTGAGGCCTGGGGCTGGTTGAGTGGGGGGAGCCCCCTGGGCTGCTGAGGCTGCAGCGGGGCAGGGCAAATCCCCTGACGGGAGGATTTCACAGCAGCCCTGCTCTGCTGCGGTGGGGGACCGCTTCCTTACCCCTGCCCGGTCTCCTTCCCCCCCTTAGCTCCCCGCCCCGAAGGACCCTGCCGGCTTCTGCCCCCCAGCACACGAGGTGGCGAGGAGCAGGCAGCGGAGCTGCAGCTCGTCCCCCGCCCCGTGCGCTCCCGAGGATGTGACGCCGGCGGCCCCACCCCTGCTGCGGGCGGGGACCGGGAGCCGACCGCCGCGCCAGCGCGTAACCAGCCCGGGCGTCCGCAGGGGGCGCCGAGCCCCGCTGCCCGCCGCCTGCGCTGCCCGCCCCCTGCCCGGGGACCCGCCCCGAGCCCCGCACCGCTTAAACGGCCCCGCGCCGCCGGCCTCTGCCCGCCGCAGTCATGTCCGCCCGCCCCGCGTTCCCCAGCCCCCGCTGCCTGGCCGCTGCCGCCCCGGCCGGCAAAGCGAAGCTCACCCACCCCGGCAAGGCGATCCTGGCAGGTGAGTGCTGGGGCGCTGCCTGCAGCTTGCCCGGGAGCCGCGCGCTGGAGCGACCGTCCGCCGGGGTCCACTCGGGGGTGGGGAGCAGCGCCTCGCGCGGGTCAGGAGCGGCCGCCTGTGTGCACCTGATGGGACAGCAGCACCCCCCCCCCCTTATCCTCCTGACCCGGGACTTCCCCTCTGCTGCCGCTGCTGCCTTGGGGGCTGACAATCGCCCAGCCCCTCGAGGTGTCTTGCTCGGCACCCGGGGTCTCAGTCCTGCTGGCAGGTCTCCTGGGCTGCTTGAAAGAGCAGCTCCGAGTCGTGTGCATGCCCTGAACTTTGGCCCCCGGTGTGCGCGGCTCCTTATCGGACAGCCCCAGCAGCCCTTGGCTCTTTCTTCGCGGGGAGCTGGACGTGCCTCCCTCCTGAGAAGTGTTTTTCCACGGCAGTGCAGTGCTCCCCGCTCCGTCTTTGGCGGGCCGGGATGCGGGGCTGGTGACTGAGTTTTGGCCGCTGTGTCACTGTCTGATGCAATTGCGGGAATTGCAGCCCTGCTTTGAGAAGTGCCCTTTCCTGGCATGCCCTGCTCGGGTCTTTCAAAGTTCCCCGGGACTCCGTGCAGTCCGAGCGGTGGTCGCTTTTCTACCCGGGGTGGTGATGGGAGATATGGGTCCTGAGAGCAGAGCTGAGGGGAGTGTCTAACGGCAAAACAGCACCCACAGCTGTGAGCGCCAACATGGGATTGACGGTGGCACCCTTGCTGCTGTGGGACCTCCCTAGGCTGAATTGCATCGGGATGCTGATTGCAAGACTCTGTCCTGGTTCTAGATTATGGCTTGGATCTGGGCTGAGCCAGGCTTTAGTTTGGAGTTTCCTCACTAGGCAAGAGAGCTCCCTGTTTACCCTTTTGGGGGATCTGTCCCAGCAGGGCTTGTGTAGATTGAAGTTTATCGCTGCCCCTGGGGGCAGTTAGGGTCACTGCAGTGCTCTTCACTCAACTCCTTGTGTCTGTTCAGTCATGAGTCTGTATATTTGATACACTGCAGGCCCTTTCAGTTTCCAAGTCATAGGCGCTGACTTCTGTTTTTGCCACTGGGCGCTTTTGAAGAGGGGTGTGTGTGTGTGTTTTGGGGAGGGGGCACTCTGCCACTTTTGGGGGAAGGCTATTTTCAGCATATTTATACATTGTTTCATATTCTAGTTATTGAATTTGTCTGTCATTAGTATCTTTACTATTTTAATAATGAGTAAATTGTTATGAGCTACATAATAACATCATCATGAATTACTGTGTATTAAAATCACTGCAATCACCTGCAAGGTGTCTTCACTAACATCCCTGTTTAAAGACATTTTGTAGCTTTCTGGATGAAACTGTCAGCAATCTTATTTACTTCTAGTTCCCTGGTATTGTCTTGATGGAGGTTAAGGACAGTTAGGTTATTCAGTTGCATCTGTCCCATTGATGACTGGAGATAATTTTTAAGTGTTCTGAAGCTGGAGAGAGAACAGGAGTACTTGTGGCACCTTAGTTCTTTTTGCGGATACAGACTAACAGGGCGGCTACTCTGAAGCTGGAGAACGAGTTCAGGATGATACAGGCACCATGAGAAGGATTCCTAGAAAAACAGAGTACTGCAAATGACTCCAAGATCTCTTTCTTGATGGGTAACAGCTAATTTAGGCACCCTCGTTTTGTATGTATAGCTGGGATTATATTTTGCCATGTGAATTACTTTGATTTAACATTGAATTTCATCTGCCATTTTGTTGCCAAGGCACCTAGTTTTGTGAGATCCATTTGTAACATTTTGCAGTCAGCTTCCAATTTAACACTCTTGAGTAATTTTGTATCCTCTACAAACTTTGCCACCTCACTGTTCACCCCTTTTTGCAGGTCATTTATGAAGATGTTGAACAGCACTGGTCCAGTACAAGCCCCTGGGGGACACCCCTATTTACTTCTCTCCATTTTGAAAATGGACCGTTTATTCATACCCTTTGTTTCCTATCTTTTAAGTGGAGTGCCTGGCAATGCTTTCAGGATCATCTAACGATCCTTAATTTAATTTAATGACAAGCCTTTTGTTATCTTAATCACCCTGCCTCTGTTTGTAAACAAACTCCCTCATCACATTCCATGATCAAGCTCTAGCTCCTGGGTGCTGAGCACCCACTATATTTCCCCATGGGTGCTTGAGCCCCGGAGCACCCACAGAGTCGATGCCTATGTTCCAAGTACAAGGTTTTCCCCACGGATTATCCAAGTTCACAATCTGCCGATAATCGTGTGAGAGGAATGCAAGGACGTGTAAACACCCTGAAATGTTCTGAAACGGGAACAGGAGTGGGGCTCTCCCCACTGAAGTAATGACCACGGAAATGTGACTTCAGAGCCTTGAAAGTGCTGCCTAGCTTCAACCCCCAAGCTGGTTCTTTCCATGCCCTCCTTGATCCATCTCTGACTTATGTAGCGTTGCTGCCTTTAGAGGAAATGGGAGCGCTCACATTTTTCATTCCTCCGTGCCTCTGGGGGATCTCTTGGTGACAGAAACTATGGGAAAAGAGTTCTTGGGGGAAGCCTTGCAGCTCCCTTTGAATGGGAATTATGCACGATTATACCAGAGCTGAGTGTGGCACCCAGTGTCTTGGAGAGGTGGATGTTCAGTTTCAAGTGAGTAGCTGCACAGCCCCAGGTGAGTAGATGATCAGTGCATTACTCTGTGCTCCCCCAAAAAGGTGTGTAGGTGGGGTGGCATGTTAACAATCTCAGTCTCCTCCTTCCCCAATGTAATCTACTGATGTCATGTTCCCTTCAAACCCCTGTGGAGATAATGAGTCAAAGAGACACATTCTCATTGCTCTCTCATTTTGAATCCCAGGATGCAAGAGGTACGTCCAGGAAGCTTGCCAGCTCTGTGTGGCTGGATGTAACCAACAGTCAGGCATTCCGTCCATGGGGATGTTCCATTTAAACCTGTTGCATGGACACATTGATGGTCCAGCAGCAGCCGGGGTGACCCAATTTGGGCAGGGATTCTGAGTTTACTTTACATGTAACCGGGGCATTCTGAATGACCGTGGACCATTACAAGTCGACAATACTGACATGTGTTCCCAAGTAATTTAGCTGTAAGGTCTTGACTGTGAACTGTGACTTTGATATCCCAATATTCGTGATCTCTGTTCAGGTAATATACAGGCTTTGGGTAAGTTTGCTAGAATTATTTCATCCACAAGGACAAACTCATTTAGCAGAGTGCATCAGTGATTAGAAATTAATTTATTTGCACAAAAAAGGGGCCCAGTCCTCTGGTGGGAAGCGCATGGAGCTTATAATCACATTGAGGATGAAAAGGAGGGTCGGGGAACAGATTAACACGATTGTCCTCCTAGCTCATTCCCACTCTGCGGCCTTATTGCTCCCTGGTGTGATGGAACCGCTTTTGGGGTGGTTCCCACTGATGAGTTCTTGCAACAGCTCCGCAGCTGCCCCTCGTGTCTTGTGGGATGAAATTACTCCCACAGATCAGCTTGTTTTTGGATCAAAGTCTCTCTGACCTCAGTGGAGCTACTCCAGGGATACACTTGGCCCATTACGTCTGTATCTGTTGAAAAGTGGGAGCCCAGCCAAGTGTGCCGTGGTGCCAGGCAAGGCTCATAGAACTCACTTGTAGTGGCATGTTAGCGCATGTTTCCTCTGCCCAACCACAGGGAAATTCCTAGAATGGAGATGGAAGTCTTTCCTCTTAAATGAAAAAATATATATATATAGCCATTTCGACGTGATCTGCATCATTAGAGCTTTTGTGTTTCCCAGCTAATTCCCTTCCTCCATGATCACGTCCACCCCTTTGTTCTTCCAGCCGACTGTACACCTTTCCTTGGGGTCTGACAGCAAAGTGCTGGCTTAGCTTAACAGAGACCTAACAGAGACATCACATCTGATGAAGTGAGCTGTAGCTCACGAAAGCTCATGCTCAAATAAATTGGTTAGTCTCTAAGGTGCCACAAGTACTCCTTTTCTTTTTGCGAATACAGACTAACACGGCTGTTCCTCAGAGACCTAAGAGTGAGCCTTACCTGTCTATTGCTCTTCCTGCATGGCTGCTGGAACCATTGCCTGCTGCCAGTCAAGTTCTGTTTGCCATCTGTGACCTCTGGCTTTGCTGTCAGTTGACATGCATTCGTTAACGTCACAGTCTCTGGTGCTTGCATGGGCCTGTCAAAAAGAAAAACCACTGGAGAAGTTGCAAGGTTGACTCGAAATCAAAACTCGAGCTGCGTGAAATGTATGCAGCTCCTGCAGTACGAAGGGAGCCACCTTTGTGAGGTGTGACAAGGAGCTGGGGCCTCAAATTAACTGGATAGTCCAAAAGCTTCTGACTAAACTGTTCACCCCAAGTTATTTGCAGAAGGACTGGTGGTGATATCCACAGTTACACATTTTGTCTGGGACATAAACCCATATGCATCAAGGCATATGCCAGCAGCTGTTTGCCTGGGGATTGAAAGACATTTCTGTCCGCTGGCAGGCTGTTCCATGACTGTCCGTTGTTCGGTTTATTGAATCTTCCTTTGAAGCTTCTGGCACTGGCCCCTACTGCTGGAGTAGGTCTCTGGTCTGCTCTGCTCTGCCAGTTCTTATGTGCGTATCATAGTGCGGTTTGTCTTGTCTTTTAATGATGGAGCTCAATCCAACCTGTGGGTGGGGGGGAGCTGATCCCACTAGCTTGTTCTTGTGAAAAGTAACTGTGGCATACACTGTGGGCCAACTTCTCTCCTGCCCCTGGACAGCCATGCCCAGCTTCATTGGGAGTGGCTGTGCCTGCAGCTCTTCAGCTGTGCCCAGACTGTAAAGCTCAATGCATGGGTGAAACGCCGCTGGGCGCTGGCCTCACATTCGACCTCTTGAGAGTCCTGTGCCCAGAGGGCAGGGTTATGAGTTGGGCTGGGGAAGCCTGCGGGTCTTCCACAGTCAGTCCAAAGATTATGAAAGGTTGCATGGCACACTGAATATGCCCTTGCCAAAGGCGTTTGCCATTCCCTGGCTCCTTGGGAGCTCACTGATCACTGGGGAATCAGTGGCTTTCCGTTGTTTATCAAGGTGTAGTGGATCCCGGGTCCCCGGAAAGCAGGAATTATGTGGCACAGGTGTGCATGGAACTTTACAGGTATGGGGGGTCCCTGTCTTGACTGGCTTCCAGTCTAGTTCAGGGGTAGGTCTCTGTAACATAGCCCTAAGTTACATATTGCTTGGCCTGGAGGAGCTCCCAGTTTTGTGATCATGAAGCAAATGAGATGAAAGAAAGGCCCTGTTGAAATGCTGGCCCCTTCCTTGCATCCAGTAAATTAAAATGATCTGTAATGTACAGGCAGCACTGGCCAGCCTTGTCGTAGACATAATTGCATTAAATAAGCTGATCCATCAGGATGGTGCCTGGTACTAACTCTGCTCTGTTCCTGCCAGCACAGTCTCATCTGTTCCTTTAGACAGGGAAAAAAATGGCCCACCTTGATTACCATGCACATTGTAGGGAGAGTGGTCACTTTGGATGAGCTATTACCAGCAGGAGAGTGAGTTTGTGTGTGTATGGGGGTGGGGGGGGTGAGAAAACCTGGATTTGTGCAGGAAATGGCCCACCTTGATTATCATGCACATTGTAGGGAGAGTGGTCACTTTGGATAAGCTATTACCAGCAGGAGAGTGAGTTTGTGGGGGGGGAGGGGGGGGAGAAAACCTGGATTTGTGCTGGAAATGGCCCAACTTGATGATCACTTTAGATAAGCTATTACCAGCAGGACAGTGGGGTGGGAGGAGGTATTGTTTCATGGTCTCTGTGTGTATATAATGTCTTCTGCAGTTTCCACGGTATGCATCCGATGAAGTGAGCTGTAGCTCACGAAAGCTCATGCTCAAATAAATTGGTTAGTCTCTAAGGTGCCACAAGTACTCCTTTTCTTAATGAGGCCCATGTGTGCCTATTATATTAAAGGTGCTAGCTGATATTTACAGGGTTTGTCAGTGGATCAGGTACCGATAAACTACCTCATTGCATTCCAGACCCTCAAATCCCTTTAAATTGGGAATGTTAAAGATGAGAAGAGACCTACTTAGACCTTGTTACCATTCGGAAGATGTAGTTCGAACAGTACAACCCCCCCCTTTGACCAACATAGTTATACCAGCGCACAAGCTGTATATAGCCCAGGCCTCTCTGCCAATGCAGGACAGGTCCCTATCCACTAGTGCTTTGTCCATGTCCCAAGGATTGGGGCTTCCAGTACTGCCTGAAGAAAGTGTAGCTCTCCCTATCTGGTCGCTCCTTATAGTCCTTGCAAAATGAAGAATTACGACACAGATCTGCCAACAGACCGGTACTGATGAGAACGAGATCCTAGACTGGCTTCTCTGGCCTGGGAGTTCAGTGCCACTGGGCTGTATAACAGTCATTCCCCTTAGCGAGTACTTTGCTCCCAAGGAGGAGCTTCCCGAGGGGTGCAGTATCCATGGGCCCTATCACCACAGTATCTCAGCGCCAGCTGTGAATTGCAAAGAGATTCCCAACACACTCTCAAGCAATATCTTTCTTCTTCGAGTAGTGTCCCTATGGGTGCTCCTCTTTAGGTGTCTGTGTGCCCCTGCACCTCTAATTGGAGATTTTTGATAGCCGTGTCCCCTCGAGACCATGCATGTGCTCTCCCTCCCTTATGGTCTGCCTGGAGGCTATTTAGCACTGCATGGTGAACCCCCCTCACTTCCTTCTCTACTGCCAGAAGGTTTCAGAGTAACAGCCGTGTTAGTCTGTATTTGCAAAAAGAAAAGGAGTACTTGTGGCACCTTCATCGAGTGAGCTGTAGCTCAGGAAAGCTTATGCTCAAATAAATTG